TTCCCTCATCCATATGGCTTCCCAGCTTTCGGTCTGTGCCAGAAGAAAGAGGACGGGATGATGGGCGAGCAGGGCAAAGCCGGGCTGCCGGGCGTACTGTGGCCTGGTACCAAGGACAGCGCCTATCCCTCCTTCCCCATGTTCTGGCCTGCTGCGGGCCCGCTGCCCTTGCCCCCATACGGGCAGACTCCACACAAACCACCCGCCGAACTGCTGTGTCCCACCAGACAGACAGAGGTGGACATTTCCGAAAGCAGCGACCGCAGCACCAACACGTCCAAAGACAGCGTGGTGGATACCGACCGCTGCTCCAGCACCCAGTCCATACGAAACGAAGACGACAAATCCGGGGACGAGGGAAGGCCCACTGGGGAGACAAGCCTCCCGACGCGGAAAATAAGCTACGTGTCCGCTTTCAGGCCGGTCATCAAAGACGCAGACTGCATCGCCAAACTTTACGGCAACAGGAGCGCCTACAATGGCTGTCGCACCGGTTATTTATCGCCTGATTTTTTAAGTGAAAGCTCGAGCTACCGGTCCGTGTCCCCGTGCGTGGACAGCGAGGGTGATCCGGACGTGGACGTGGAGACAAACAGAACGCCAGAGGAGCAGGACCATGGGCCTAGGAGTCCTATCGGTTTGGTGCGCAGCGTTTCACCGAAAGACTCCCCGAAAAGCGCAGAGAGCAGCCAGAATGAGGCGCAGAAACTGAGCCTGCAGGTGAGCCAGTCCTCAGACAGAGAGCTGCAGAGAAAACAACTATCAGAACACCATATAGCTGCTCCGTTCACAGAGGTGAGTCGCTCACCTCTGTAAAATTTGTCGCTCAAAAAAGTGCCAATAAGATGAGGAGTTTCTTGTATTTTTGCATGAAATAACTGTTTTCGTGATTGTTAAATTTGTGTAAAAACAAACACAAAATATTTATCTTAATTACAAAGTAATCTATCACATTTTAATGTTTTTTTTTCATATTTCAGTTATGATATTTTCTCAAAACTTAGTTGTTGTTTTTTTCCAGGTTTTCCCATCAGACAGAGCTGAGCTGCAACAAAGAAGCAGTCCGTATCACTTCAGACCAACAAATTATCTGACAGCGGTACTCTCAACTAACGGTATAAACATTTTTTGTTCATCATTTCAGCGGTTTTTTTTTTTATAATTTACAAAAAGCAAAAGAGCATTTTTTTTTTCTTAATTTTATTTGATTTCTTTTCTCAAGATGAAAGCACAAGTAAAGAAGAGCCGTCTTCAACAGTGGAAGAAATTGAAACGAAATCTTTCAATGGACAAAGCAGCGAGGAGAGCCACCGAGACCCAGATGAGGGTAAGCTCCAAAAGTTTGTTTATTATTATTATTTTTTATTTGCTTACAGCTTTGTTTCAATGCACAATTTTGTACTTTTTCCAATAAAAATGTATAAACCTAATTTGTGTGAATATAGGTGATGACATGGCAGCCAGAGATGTACCAATACAGAGAGAGTTCCAAAGTTTAGCAAAAGGTAAGGCAATAATTATAGTTACTGGAAGTATCACTGTTGTTGTGTAATAATAATTATTCTCAGCAATTATATATATATATATATATATATATATATATATATATATATATATATATATATATATATATATATATATATATATATATATATATATACACACCTCTAAGGATCCTTGCACTTGCCAAGTTTCTTTATTTCTCATAACTTTTACACTATAATCCCTGGGAGAGGTTTCATTTTCTATCTCTTTATTTTTAGACTGAGATTAGACTCAGTGAGCTTTGCTCTGAATTCTTATTCCAGTAATGAAATCATCATCATCGTTGTGATTAAAAATAGAAAGTTGTCCTAGATGCGAGGTAAAAGGCTCCCAGCGCCTGTTTCTCTGCTCCTCCACTAATGCTCCCTCTTTTGCCTGCTTTTTTAGAGGAGCTGCAGAAGCAGCTGTTGGAACAAGTCGAGCTGAGGAAAAAGCTAGAGCGCGAATTTCAGAACCTAAAAGGTAAGAATTTTTAAAGCAGTTTTGGATTTTTATCACCATTGTTTGAGAGCAGTGTATTGCTTATTGCAAGCCCTCTGATAAAAGCGGTGCCTCGAATTTTATTTACAGTGAAGCAAATCTACAAATCTTATTATTTAACCTTTTGTTTTAAGGGTGTAATTTATATTTAATATACAGTCAAAATTGTATTGATGAAATTGTTTACACAATAAAAATCTGCTATGCCTTATTTCCACATTGGTGATCAAACTCTTTTGTCCCCACATAGCTCGGGTAAAAATCTAGAAAATCATAACTTTAATTACTTTAAAATAAAAATAGCTGTGTATTTTTCCTCATGTGATTTTTTTTATTATTATTAAAGGCTATTTAATTGTCTTTTCTGCAAATAAAAAAAACGGACTTTCAGACATTTAGGAATGAAAAGTCTGTTATTTTATTGTATGAAAACAGTCTGGATTATTACACTTTTTAAAATCAACAACAATAAACAAAAAAGAAATAGTAATATGTTATTTGATGTTTCCTCAGACCTCGTGAAACACATGAAATAAAGATTGTTCCTGGAGAATAATTTTAAAATCGTGTTAAAATCTGTAAATCGGAGTTACACTATACCAAAACTTCTAAAGGCTTCAAACAGATTAACTAAATCAATTATTCATTCTCTGTTATTTGGACATAAAATATTCTTTGTAATAAACAATTCACTTCACGTTAAAAACAGTTTAAAAAAGACTTTGTTTTTATTTAAAAAAACGTAAATCCATAGTTGTTGATACAAGTAAACTCTGAGACAAAATTATATTTATCTGCAAAAAGTAGGCCTAATGCAAAAAACAACATCAACTCGGCCACAGCAAAATTGCAAGATGACTGCAGATGAGAATTTGATATGTTTTCAATTTACTATTATTTTTAAATATTAGAACACTGTTTCTGCGTAATTTCTAACTAGGCAAACAAACAACAAATGTGTTTTTAATAATACATATGTAAATGAAAACATATTTTATAAGTTTTATTTCTGACCGATACATTGCAAAACTTGCTCAAATAAACACGCAAATGCTTTAACGCCAGCGTGTTAATGTGACTTTGAGCAAGATTCAAACACTTTCTGCGGCTTCAGCTTGAGAACAGTGCCCCCTAGAGGCAGTTAAGCCTTGTACAAATGAATGGTTCTCTATGGTTCCAACCTGGTCGATAGAATCTTCCTTATGACATCCCTCAGTGCGCAATATTTTCAACTTAAAATTTCAGACGTTTAAAAAAGTAATAAAGAATGCATCCTATCGTTGTTTTTTATTGTTTTCTTTCTTTCTTTCTTTCTTTCTTTCTTTCTTTCTTTCTTTCTTTCTTTCTTTCTTTCTTTCTTTCTTTCTTTCTTTCTTTCTTTCTTTCTTTCTTTCTTTCTTTCTTTCTTTCTTTCTTTCTTAAATAAGATTTAATATTGACTCCTGTTTCTCAGATAATTTTCAAGATCAAATGAAACGGGAGCTTTCCTACAGAGAGGAAATGGTCCAGCAGCTTCACATCGTCAGAGGTGAGAGCAATAAAGCAAAAGATGATACATCCAAACAAGTTTCTTTCCACTTGCAGAAATATATTTAAATTTTTAGATTTTTGTTTATATCTAGAAGAAACCACTTACTGATTTGCCTGGTTGATCTGTAGCTATATACACCTAAAGATGTGGGCGTATTTTTCAAGAGCGCACCCCGTTTGCTTGTACACTATTGATTTGGTTTTCTCCCTCTAGCTCACGACGCATTACACCATTTCTCCTGTAAGATGTTAACTCCTCGGCACTGCACAGGATCCTGCACATTCAAATCTCCTCTACTGCCACCTTGAGTGTCGGACATGTTTGTAGGTCAGAAGACTGGTAAAAGGGACCCATTTGCAGCTCTTGTCAAGCATCTGTGCTTGGAGAAATACATGAAAAAATAAATAAACCTCAGTTTGTTTTGCTAATTTATCAAACTTAAAAAAGAACAACCTGTAATTATATGTAACATTTGAAAAATGTGTATTACCACCCCAGTATTTATGACATCATCCTGAATAGGCTGTAGATTGTTTTACTGAAATTATGCCATCACCTCTCGTTTCCGTTTTGTGGCAAAGTGCAATGACAGTAGTTGTCCTATATTGGATTATTTATGTTTTGTTTTTACCTGTCATTATTTTTGTTCCAAGCTCCATAGCTATATTTCTCCTCTATTACAAATAAGCCTTTGGTTCTTTTATTTGCCAGTTAAGATCAGTCACAAACATTGGATTTAATGCACTTTAAATTACTTTTCAGCAAAAAAATACTCTGTTTAGTTGTTGTATTTGTTTCTAGTTAAAAAAAATCAGTGGACAAAACTTGTGCATCTGCGTCTATAATGATATAATAAGAGAAGCTTATTTGTCACTGTAACATTTGTTCCCATTGCTGAAAAATAAATAATTTTATTGAAACAAATATTGCTGTGCTTTTGGTTTATGTGTTTATTGATTTCATTTTTTTATTTCTAAATTTCGCCTATGATTTTGCGCAAACACTACATAAGTTGACACCAAAATATTGTTGATGTATTGTTGAATTGCGGTTTCAGATATGTTTTACACTCTCTTAAAAAGATATTTAGTCGATGTATAAACGGTTACTCGGCTTTTTAGTTTTTCATCTTGATAACTTGCAAAATCGTAGTTATTCCTTGGAAAATAACTGCTTATGGCTAATATGTGCACTGATTATTTGTATGGTTTCATTGGATTATTGATTCTGTTGGAAGTCTATTGTAAGGTTGCTACTCAAATCGATCAATTTATGTATTCCATTAGTGCATGACGTGGACTAACATAATCCATTTAATTTAAAATTGTCCGTTTTAATCAGTGTCCGTTTTAATCCATCAAGTTTAGAAATGATGCAAATGATAAAAACGTTGCAACAGCGCCATCTGTTGGGGAATGTGCAGAACAGCATTGAGTCCCTTGAGGGAAGCTGAGTTGCGCATGCGCACCCAATGTAACGAGATGGCGGAGAGTGCGGAACTGAAGGTAAACCTGCTCTGTACATTAGCTTGACAAGTATATGTTACAATCACCGAAACTTTAAAACTGACGCCACAACAATCCGGATATTCGGCGGTAGACACCTGAGTGGAATTTTTACGAAAGTATATGACGAATAAACAGCTGAGCAGAAGAAACCAGAATAGCGTTAGCTCCAGGCTAGTTCGATAGCATTAGCTTTGTTATTGTTGCCGATGTTCCCGTTAGACTGCCTCTGGGGTTCGCCTGCTCACAATATAATAAATAGATCTGATTATTGATGAAACCTTGAAGTTTTTCAATGCATTAAATTGATCAGCACAGCGGGGTCAGATAGCTATCCTTGTTTTTTACACGATTGTGTGAACGGGTGTCTGTAGAAAAATGGGCTATGGCTATTCCCTGGAATAGAAGCGCATGTCAACTTGAATTATTGCTATACTTTGATTAAAATCTGTCAGGCTTTAATGCCAGATCTGGTGATATTGTGACTCTTGTTGGTTTTTATAGTTCGAGATAAAGTACAAATTAAATCCTTTGTCCATTTTTATGCAAATAACACTTGGATCACATAGCTGGTGGTAGCTAGGGTAGCTAACTACATTTGTTATCTTCCTCTCCATTCCTTTCCATCTATATATAGTATAACAGATCAAAGGAAAGTACATTGCGTATAAATATTTAAAGTATTGTTTTGTACTGTTATGAATGCAATCAAATATGTGCACTAATACCACTGCTTTTTAGCGCAGAGCTATTTTTGAAATGTAACGGTTTATCCCTGGTAAGGGAGAACCGTTTTTTAAAAAGCCTGTACATTAGAAATGTTACCAGTAGCCTATGAATAGTATTACTGTGTACTCCTTGGCTTTCTTTCAGGGTGGATTGAAAACATTATTGGAGTGTTTACATTTAGATATGCTTCCCTATAGGGTAAAGTATTTCACACTTACCATCTATAGTAGAATAGGCTAATTTGCCCCTAATCAGCACTGATTGGCGAAAACATGCATCAAAACTAAGGACTCACCCTGTTTTTGTCTATAAATGCATCTATCTATAGCCTGCAGCATTATATTCTTCCAATAGTGTTGTTTAACTTAACTGAACTCATTCTGCAATTTGAGGGATTTAAGCACAAAAGTATGTATTTAGGCTAGTGATTATGCACAGATTATCTAGGTTTGTTTTGATTATTTTATGATGGACTAAATAATTCAACAAACAAACTTGTGTTGAGGTAAAGCCTTGATCTTATTATTTTTTTAGGCACACCAAATATGCTTTTCTTGGTCGATACCGTTTCCAGTTTCTTTTAGGGCTACAATTCTAATTACTGCTTTAACAGATCCAGATTTTTAATTGGCTTTTATTGTCAAGATTTGTAGTTTGAAATTCTCTTGTTAATTAAGAAAATCTGAGATTTTCTACTTGTACATGTGATGTGATTACATACAAAAGTCGATGTCTCTTCATTAAAAAGGTGTTCGATATTTGATGCTGTTGGTTGACAGATTGTTGTCTGTACAAAGCAAACAGTTTGCAAGAAAGTAAAACATTTTCAGATTTAATGGGTAGTAAAATGTAGTACAGTGGTAGTCTTTGGAAATCAAAAAGAACATTGAATCTTTTCTTTATGCAGAGTGGATTAGAAAACTGCACATTCCCAGTTTTTATAGACCCTCTTTCCTCACTCTTCATTTTTTAACAGCAAATGGTAATGAGCCTTCGAGTTTCTGAGCTCCAGGTGTTGTTGGGCTATGCAGGACGGAATAAGCATGGGCGCAAACATGAACTTTTGACCAAAGCTCTCCACCTACTCAAGGCTGGCTGTAGTCCTGCTGTGCAGATGAAGATCAAAGAACTCTACAGACGGCGGTTCCCAACCAAAATGGTTTCGCCAGTGGACCTAGCTCTTCCTGTCGTTCATTCTGCATCCAGCTTACCATCTGGCCTCGCTCAGCTAGGATTTGATGGCCACAGCTCTCCTTCACCACTGCTGCCTGTTTCTCTTCTTGGACCTAAGCATGAGCTGAGTCTGCCTCACCTCTCCTCCGCGCTGCACCCTGTGCACCCTGACGTCAAGCTTCAGAGATTGCCATTCTATGACGTTCTGGATGAGCTCATTAAGCCAACGAGCCTGGGTAAGCCTACAACTAGCCTCTCAGCTGTGTTTACAGTTATAACAATCCTCCTGTTTGAGCATACAGTCAAGTTTTAAGCTCATAGGTGCATCTGAAAAATGGCTTTTGAGGGAAGTACACAATATACTCTCTGTAGTTTCTTGTCTGAGTTCATGCTTTTGCTTTCTTTTTTCTTTAAGTTTCAGACAATAGTCAGAGGTTCCAGGAAGCATGTTATGCCTTTGCATTAACACCACAGCAAGTTCAACAGATCAGCAGTTCAATGTAAGTGAGAAAGCTGCTGTTAAAAATAAAAGCAAACAGAGTAAATAATGACACCCTATTTCACTTTAAAAAATAGCTGTCTTTTAATGTATGTTTTAGTTATTATGTTGTGTAATTAACTGTTGAATCATGTTTTTTTAAGGGACATATCTGGGACCAAATGTGACTTTGCTGTTCAAGTTCAGTTAAGGTATGCATAGCGCCCTTTTTCTTTTATGTCAGTCTAATGAGTGTGTTTGCTTTTACATCCACTTAAAAAACAGAATGAAACTTCAGCTACGGCACTCAAAAATACTCCTTAGATGTCAATCTAACTTTTTTGTGCCATTTAAAACAGTTCATATATCTTAAATGTATCGACAAATTTTTTTAATTAAGATTTCTAGCACATGATTTTAAAGTATTGGCATTATTATACATTCTTTTTCAGTGCTGATCACTCTGAATTTGGCATTTCCATGATAAAACATAGCAGCTGGAGCATCATGCTTCAGGCATGATTTTCTTCAGAGTTGTTGGGAAGGTGGGCGTGGCTAAATACAAAACAATTCCCGGAGAATATTTTGCCAGAAGCTATAAAGGTTAGACAAGGGTTGCCTTGCATAGTGGTTCTCTTTCAGTGGGACTATCACCGTAAACATGCAGCCAACTTGACCTTTAAAGGATCTAGATTGATGTGTTAAAATGACCAAGCCTTGTTAAAGTCTGTGTCAGCACTTCAAGTTTGATGTTAAATGAGACAAATGTCTTATAGAAAATAATACAAAGATTTTTTTTTTCTGTGCTACTTGGTCTATCCCACAAAATATCAATGACTCCTATAGAAGTGGTTGGGGAAAAAAAAAAGTGGCGTATAAATATAGCCAAGCTAAACATTTTTGCAAAATGTTCCTTTGGGGTTTTTCTGGCTGCCATTTAAAAACATTTGTTTCTTTTTTTTTTCCAAACATAATATGCCATCCTTTTTATAGGCTATCTCTTAATGTTGTTGTTTTTTTTTTTATCACAATATCACATGTTTTATTCTAAATTGCAGAATATACCATGCTTGGTGCCTTCAAATGTTCTCTGCCTCTTGTTTTGTTTACACTGATGTTCTGTTTGGGCATGCCCTTAAAGCAGTGTTCAGTCATAGTATAGTGTTGCTAAAGTATACCGTAAATGAAGAACTGATAGAAGTAAACCTACTTTATAGGGAAAGTTAATGAACCTGTGTAAGTGAAGTTTCTCTGGGCATTTGCTGTCAAACATGACAATCACTCTTTTTTTGGCAGAATTTGCCTTTTGAATCCCAAATTGGTAATGTGAATGGGATAGAACTGATGAAAAACAAATACTATGGTGTTAAGGTGGTTGTAGTTATCCCAGAAATAGTTTAATTACACAGAATAGCGGCCTGGGTGTATGTCTAAAGGAGGGAGCCCTGGTTTTCATAACATGTTTACGAACTAGAGCTACATTATTGCAATATTAGTGTGAATACTGCTAGCTGATTGGAGTGTGCTGACCACGAGATGTGAGCTTAACGCAGACAACAGTTACGAATCTGTGATTTGAATTGTGCATATCCTGGTTCAACTTTTTCCTTTCCAGTTAGATACTGATATTGATTCAATATGATATTGGCAAGAATCAAACCAATTTTTATTTTTTATTTTAGAATTTTAGAAAAGGTTTGATCAAATAATAATACTAAAATGGGAACAAAAGTCAACAACAAAGGGTATGAAAACAACCGACCCGTGTAAAATGAACCAATGAGTTACAGGAACTTTGAACAGAAGCAGAGAGTTTCTTTCACCATGAAAGAATCAGAAATTTTAGATGCCATTAAAATCCGATGTTCGTTTTTTGGTTAATAGGATCGGGACATCCCTAGGTTGAATGTTTGGACTTGAATGGATGCTGAGAGGCTTTGTGAGGATGTTATCTGACACAAGCTAACATTAACTTTTAGTGAGCTACATTAAGTGGCTACATTATGTAAAGGCTGGAACTAAGCCCGTTACTGCAAACCACTCAAATCAGAGGCCGGACTGGGACGATTTGATTTCTTCCAAGTAATGCCTATACAATGTCATATAAATATTTCATTATTTCTGGTAGGGTTTTTAGATATAGACCTAGATAAAAAGGCACACAAGCCTTCATTAACTCGCTCTCTCATTAATGCTCCATTTCTATTAGGTTAAATAAGATATAAATATTCCCCTCTGTTGTTGAAACTTTTGTTTCTCTGTTTTCTTTTATATTTTCACATTTTATTTCAATTTTTTTAATACAGCTCTGAATTCTCGTGGCACTTTTAGTGTAATTTGTATTATCAGTCCAAATGAAGTAAGTATTTCAGTGAGTGGGAAAAGAGAAAAACAGGTATATCCAGGAAAGGTTAGGTTTTATTCCTCTAGAGGTAAAATAACTGGTCATTTTTTACATATCTTTTTTTTCCAACAAACAGTGGGTTTTCAGCCAAAGTTATCGTTTAATAAAAAAAAAAAAAAAAACTTTCCCTGGTTAAGTTTCATTACCATAATTCAATAAGGGCTTTCCCATCTACTGCAGTAAAGAGTGTGCATAAATGGTAGCAGGGCATTTATTGTTCAAATTTTTTTATGAAATTGGATTTAAAACAAGGAAATGCTGGACTTAGGAGAAATAGTCATGTCAGAATAATATTACTGGCATGAATTTAAAACTGCTTTCATCCTTGAATATTAACTAATGTTCTATAACTTTTCTTGACTATTCTAATAAAGTTACACTAGTCTGATGCTTTAAAATTAGATGCTACTCCGTTTTCCTCTGGGGGAGTATTTCCATACCTCCCCAGAGAGGTTTAATCCTTCCTATCTTTTCCCACCCCTGACCCCCTTTTCACATCTGAATATACGCACATCAATACAGTACTTTCTTATTATTTTCAGATTTTGCTTATCGGAGACGAGCTGTCCTCAAGAAGACCATTTCCCTCCCAATTTGTGTGTGAAGGTTAATGGCAAACCATGTAATCTCCCAGTAAGTCTTAACACCTTATTTTGCTCTGGGCTTTAAAGTTTGTGTTTTATGCAGTTTGCTTCTGTTAAAATAAATTAAAAAAAAATGTGTTTTTCTTTTCACAGGGTTACCTTCCTCCCACAAAAAACGGAGTGGAACCAAAAAGGCCCAGCCGTCCTATTAACATAACGTCTCTTGTCCGGCTATCTACCACTGTCCCCAACACGATTGTGGTGTCCTGGACCTCGGAAATTGGAAGGGTGAGAATGTTAAATCATGATGATGGAAGGGGGGGCTGCAACTATAAATGGGACATCAGTATGACCGTTTGTTTTCTTTTGCGGTCAGAATTTTTCTATGGCGGTGTATTTGGTGAGACAGCAGTCATCTGCAGTGTTGTTGCAAAGACTACGGGCCAAAGGCATTAGAAACCCTGACCACTCAAGAGCCCTGAGTGAGTAAACACTTTTCTTAATATGTTGACGTTTTGACTGATAGATAGCACTTCCTTTCGTGACTTTATCTAACGGTCTAGTTACTTTATGTTGTGTGTTTTCTGTTAATGGAAGAGGTGGGAAGAACTTAACTGAAAGACACCTGTTGAAATCTGCCCTTTCATTGATTGTGTGACTTCTTTATCTGAAGAGTCTTATGTTTGTAAATGTTTCATGGTGTGAAAGTATAGGTTTCTCTGTTCTTAGTTAAATTCTGAAGGCAGTTGAAGGTCCTCATGAAGAAATGAGACACAAAAAAAAGATTAACTCAATGCCACATTCCAAGAATCTGAATAGGTTATTAAGGTTTTTTTTGTTTTTTTGTTTAAAATAGTTTTCTTATCTTGAAGGCCAGGAACAGGCTACTAATGTTCGATAATATCTCTGGTGTTGCGTTTACCAGCCCTCTGATGTCGCCTTTAACTCTCACACAACACTTCCTATTTATATAATTGTGCTGGACAGTTTTTGTTGTTGTTTCTATCAGCTTTTCATTTGTCATCTCAAATTGTTTTTAAAGATTTTCATTCACATGGAGACTACATCAAATATCATGACCAGATCACATATTGGTTTCCAGTCTTATTTTTTCTGTTTATCTCTGGAAGAGAATCTGATTTAGATGAGCTTAAACACCAACGATTTGATCGAAGAAAAAAAATTATTTTTCTAATAGAAGAAAAAGTTAGGAGACCCTGCTCCATAATGGCTATTTTTGTCCTCTTTAACTGTAATAACTTCAGTGAGATGCTGCTTTTATCTTGTACCATATTAAACAGCGGCCTGAGGAAAATTTTCCCATCTCCTTTATTTACCCGAGTGATATTTTAGGGGTTTCTTCTTTGTTATAGAGTTTCCAATCACCTTGTCATCCATTTAAGACATTATAGATCTTGGCTTTGGCTCTTCTACTCTGTGACTTTCCGTTGTTTCATTCTTTGTTGCTGTTGATGGATTTACAGGCATGTTTTGTGACATTGTCATGTGACAGGAAACAGTTTGCTGAGTTCCATAAGTACATTTGGGGTAAAAAATGATGATTAAATACATGTTTAACTTATTCAATTCTCTCTTTTTTCATCCGTTAGTTAAGGAGAAACTGACTGCAGATCCAGAGAGTGAGATCGCCACCACCAGTCTACGAGTCTCTCTCCTTTGTCCTGTAAATACTGTTCTCTACTATCTTGCTCAGTTTTTTTGTGTAGCTCATTAGTTTTAAAGCTGTAGATATTTTTTAACCATTGTCACTTAAAGAATTTTAATTAAGAGGTAAATTGTTTGTTCTGTTTAACAAATAGTGAAAGAAAGAGGAGGTAATAATTTAGAACAAGGCTTTCAGGGTTGGTTAAGAGTCATTTTTTATTAACTGCTGCTCTTATGTGTCCCTTTCTACAGCTGGGAAAGATGAGACTGACTATCCCTTGCCGATCAATGACATGCTCTCACCTACAGTGCTTTGACGCTACACTTTATATCCAAATGAATGAGAAGAAGCCGACTTGGGTGTGTCCGGTTTGTGACAAAAAGGCACCATACGAGCATCTCATTATTGATGGGTGAGCCTGATCAGAGTTTGTGTCAGATCTTAACAAGTTGGTTTAAAACAGTGCTGCAGCTGGAACACTCCACACCCTCATTACACTTATAAAACTTATTTATTTTCAATTCAGATCAAATCAAGACTGTTTGCAAAGGGTAATTGTGAACCTAACTGGGGAATGATACAGCAGAAGATTAAGATCTTCATAATGTATGAGGCACTCTACAGACATCTAACACAAGTCTAACACTGTGTAACCTGCTGCATTGTGGTAGAAAAACATGTTCCAGAGTAATCGTTCAATATTGTAGGGATTATATCGGTTGAGATTAATCCCCATTTTTAGCTTCTGTCTTTTATTTTTTTCCACCAATAATTTGCCTCTGTCATGAAGTCGCAATCCATCCAATCAGCTAAATGAATGATTAACCATACAGAATCTTAATGCATGGTGCTCAGAGTATGATAACTCCTAAATGTGGCGTTCTGTGGGTCCTTTGAGTTTGCAGTTTTGGAATATCTGATTTACTTTAAGTTAAAACAGTTGAATATTTTGGGAAAACCTCTTAGATGTGTTTTTTTTTTTTTGGATTTATGACTCCATGGAGGTTCATCTAAACTCTGTTGGCAGTTAAAATTACTTTTGAGTTGTTTTATTTGCTGATGTGGATGACATTGAAGGTGGAGTTTCTGATTTATGGGTGGATTATTTTCACAGGCTGTTCATGGAAATCTTGAACAGCTGCTCTGATTGTGATGAAATCCAGTTTAAGGAAGATGGAAGCTGGGCCCCCATGAAGTCAAAGAAAGAGGTCCAAGAGGTGTCTGCTTCCTACAATGGAGTGGACAGCGGTGTGTAGTCTGTGTATTTAAACAATTCCCAATCTGCTGTTCAGTGGGATCTGTGAGCACAGAGTGAGCTTTCTGTCTCTTTCTTCCTTGTTTCCTTTCTGTGGGTAGATTCGTCCAGAGCAGACTCCCATGAGCATAAACGGGGGTCATCTAATGACAACAACAAAAAAGTCGATGTGATCGATTTGACACTGGATAGCTCCTCAGAAGACGAGCAGGATGAGGAGCCCCCTCCAAAACGGGTCTGTCCTTCACTGTCTCCAGTCTCTCCACCTCCAACCAAAGGGTAAGCTTCAAAATCACTTCATCCCTTTTCATTTAGAAGCATCCAAAATATTCAGGGTTCATCAAAAAGTTCACCTATTTAACTGATTCAATTCCAGAAGTAAAACCCAGGTGAAATTCTATCTGTCGGAAATTTAGAACAGTTTAGATAATCAGTGATTGTGTTTTTAATATTTTATGACCAGTTGAGGGGTTATAAAGAATACCGATTGGCTAACAGATGATCATTTTCAGATTATTTATTTAAAATGTTTGGTTTTTACAGGCTATTGCCTGAAACAGAATATTCAGAAAAGGTTCAGAAAAAACAAAGTTATCCAAGACAAAAATAAAATAAATAAATAACATTTGGAGCTCATCGCTACAAACTCCTTTTAAGGTATTTTAAACAGGTGGGTACAAGGAGGCACAGGAATCTGTATACACCCTCTCCCTCAGGTCACCAAACCCAGGTTGTCCACGGAGCTTTAGAAGGTAGTAAATGAAATAGATGAAAATGAAGGCCATTAAAATATAGAAAAAATAAAAAATTTTGTTTGACAGCTATTTTTTCTCCCATTTACATTAAATGGCTATCTCCTAAAAAATATCTAAACTAATCACTAGCATTAAAGCACATTCTATCATTTTTATGTGCGAGAACAGCTTGAGGCAGCAATATTCCCACCTTGTTCGTACCAATAGACATGCCAATCTGTGTAGTAAGTTTCCCTTTCTGAATTAAAGTACTGAAATAAATTAACTTTTTGATTATTCATTTTTGTTATTTACTGAAATGATCCTCTCGTGTGTTAAACCTGTATGTAATTGATCCTCTGGCTTTGTTTCTGATTAGAGTGTTGAACCTGCACAGCCAAGCTTCACCTGTGGCCAGAGCTCCCAGCATGCCCCCTGTGGAGAGCAGCTACATTCCTCCTCCACCCCCCCTCATTCAGGACTACCGCCACTATTATCACACAAGTGATCTGCCAGGTAAAGAAATATAGAATAAAGAATAAAAAAGTAAAGAAATATTTTGAAGAAGCTTTTTTTTTATGTAAGGAAATCAGAGCTGCAGAGCATTCAATCAAAATACAAAGCAGTCCCCACTTCATGACAAAACTGCACAGCCTGCTCTAAAATAGAACAGGGAAGGATTTAAACATTTACAAAATCAGATGAAAACTATTTTAAAGAAAAAGAAAACACAGACCAGAGAGTCAAATGGTTTATAACTGGCTGAGGCCATTTAAATAGAAATGAAAATGTATTGAGAGCTTTATAAAACAAACTTTTGTGTATTATACACCCTGTGTGTACAAAATGACAAAATAGTTTTTTTTAAGTTAAAGGTGATTCTCAGAGAGCTGTTAGTTAAGTCTGCTGTTTTGTTTTTGTTTTTCAATTTTGTAAAGAGTTGAGTCAGATAAGATGTGCATTTCCCTAGTTGTTATTTTTTAAGCTCAAAGAGGATTGCTATTTTATTGTCTCTCTGTTCCCACTGAGCTCCTCTCATGGTTAAAGTAAGCTGTTCATTGAAGTCCATTTTTATCCTGTTTGCATTATACACTGTGTGTTTCCTCTGGCTGGTTTAACTTGCAATTCAGCCATTTTACTTTATATTTTCCCCAAAGCAGATGTGTTTCACTTTTCCACTGTGTCTTTCTTTTTTCTTCCTGTCTGACTCAAAACATTACAGCCAAATTGCTGCATAGGTCCTACCAAAATAACCCAGGGTTTATATCTCAGTCGCACAGTTGCATAGGATCGTGTGTGGTCTGACCAGCCCCATTGGTTTTCAGTGAGCTTTAAGTGTCACAGCCTCATACGATCTGATTTTCCATCGCATTGAAAGCTAAATCTTGTCCAGTGTTTTCAGGCCTAAAGCTTTCAAATATTTATTTTAATCAAAAGCATGAAATAATAATGAGCTGATTTCTAAACCAGATTATTATTAAAAAGTTAAAGTTTTCTTCCTTTTACAGATCTGAATTTTTTCTCCTTCCTTCAAGGTGACAATCAGGTATAGTATTTATTCATTTTCTGGAGTTTTCCTCCTGTGTTTATTTTTATCGAGTGGTGTTTTTTAAACTTTTGTAGTGTTTGTTGTTTCATACTCGCCAATAGGACTCATGTTTTTTGTTTGACATTATAATCTGGCTGGTGTGTCCAACTCCACTGCTTCAATATTATTGTCTGGCAGCTTTTAGACTCCCTTCTCCAATACATCTGAACCAAATGAATGGCTCCTAACCAAGCATCTGGGTAGCCAGGTGACTGGATATTCATGACTGCGTTCAGCTGATTGATTCAGATGGTTTGGAGAAGGGATGCATCTAAAAGATGCAAGAAAGTAGCTCTCCAGGACTGGAATAGATACCTTTGTATTAGAGGGGCTCCAAAATAATAAGAAAATGACCTTGCATGTAATACAAGGATTAAGCAATGAAATGGCAAAGCATGTGTAAGAAATGGACAATTTGGCTAACATTGAAAACTTGGAGGAGAGGATTCTGCTCTGTGCATCCCTCTGTTGACAAACAATATTTCCTCTGTTTCCCATAAGCATTACAACATGGTGATGGCTGCTGCAGCGGCTGCATCGGCTTCTGCCCCGGAAGACCACGACCTGCTCCTCAACCGCTTCCTGCCCTACAGCTCCCCCCAGATGCTACGAGAGCAGTCAGCCACCCCGGGGGGCAGCACGCTGGCAACCACCAACGGGGGCAGCAACAGCAGTTTGGTGTCTTCTAGCAGTCTACGGGAACGCGAAAAGGAGAGAGACAGCCACAGCCTTTCAGGATTGTCAAGGTCTTCTATGGAAGCAGCGGCAGCGGCGGCCATTTACGGCTCCTTATCTGACGTTATCTCTCTTGACTAGATACACACCGAACTGAAGAACAGGGGAGACCTCGGACAGGAGTTCTTTGTAAATACAAGTGGAAGACGATAGAATAAAGTGCTATGTACAGAGAGGAAAAATTTATTTTCAATTTTACTTATCATATGTATATAAACTTGGGACGCTTCTTGTCCAGTGCGTTACTTCCGTTGATATTTTTGTGTGAGACTGAAGACTTTTTCCACACCTCTTCATGTGGTCTTTTGATTATATTGTAGCTTTTGTACCTGGTTTTTACAGTTTGTTTCAATATTTTATGTCAACGGCATTATTTCAGCAAAGATGCACAGTCCCCAGGCAGTCAACCCCCCCGCATCGGGACATGTTTAGAATATAAAGAAAACAGGCTTGTTGTTGATGAAAAGTGGGCCTCAGCAACACGGGAAAATGTGTAGCACTTTATGTTCTAAATGGTGTCGTCGTTTTCGCAATGTTTAGACAGCAGAAAGATTTGGCCATTTTCTTTTTGCCATCTTTGTACATTTATTTACTCTAACCCATTCATGCTGTGGTTGTTATTTTTAAATAATTATTTATGATGTAAGTTATATTAGGTGTGTGCTATTTGTTTATTTTTTTAAAGAAGCATTCCTATGCCTCTTGGAACTGTTGCCACTAGAAATACAGGAGTCTGCGCGCGACCCTCGTGTTGTCCTTACTGCACTCTTTTCCTTCTCGCTTACCTTAGTCGAATCAAAGAACAGTGAATAATGTTTTATTGCTCAATCTCTACGCAATAAACACACAATTGGGAGGAAGTCAGTTTGATCAGGCTGTTTCAGCATGTGAATGAAGGGCACTGGTCCAGCAAGCACCCACGATTGGACCTTTATATATGGTAGATATAAGTATATATATCAAAAGACTTGCAAAAGTTAGCATTTTTCTTTAATGTATTGCTGTTTATTTTGTGTAATCCTAAAAAAATAAAACAAACATAGAAAACTAGACAGAGTGACCAGCTGACAAATTACTGCTCCACATATACGAGACATGGCTAGTTTCTGGTCAGTTTGAAAGGCTATAGATGTTTATAATTTTTGAGGTTAAGTAAGATGATTACATTTCTTTATGTGGATGTTTTATTATAGCACTAGTTTCTTTTGTCTTTGTGCATTAAGTCTATGTGGAGCAGTTGCACATTAAAGTTCCCAGTTAGTCTTCAGCTTCTCTGTCTGCTGGTTATCTAAAAGCTAACCTATTTGAGTGCTATGCTAGACCCCCTGGAGACTTTTTTATCATTTGGTTCGTAATGTAATTGCAACAGCCTTCAAAATTACTGTTAGATCTTAGGCTTTGTGAATCACAACATGCATTTTGGCCCAGAGGTAAAACAACCTCAAGATCATGAATGCCTCCTTTTTAATTGATTTGATTTTCGCTTTTCCTTGACTTGTCTTTATGATTAGGATTATTTATTATCATATATATTTTCGGCATTGGATTGATTTGTGATTATGCATTGCTGTCATTGTATGTGGTATTTCTTTTGTAATTATATAATTATTGCTATTTAAAAATATCACTGTTGCTTGACATGCTTTGTAACATTTTTAGTTTCTGTCCATTTTGCTATAAGATGATGTCAATAACTCAATAGACGCTTGATCATTTTGAAAGGAGAGAAGGTCTGTTGTGCTGATTTGTAAATGGTAATGGGAGAAACTGGTTTTTACGGGCTCGTTTGTTCTGAGAGGAACCCTGATTCAGCCCTGAAGGGCATTCCTCATTTAAAGAGCATTTTACTATTATTTAAGTGTTCACAAAATCACAAAAGTAAAACAATTAGGTAACCCTGATCATGCTTATTATAATCCGTATTTTGAATAGATGTTGGAAAAAGGTATTGGAAAAGTCTCTAACTTCTTATTAGAAAGAATATTAAAATTCAGTAACCTACATATTTTAAATACAGGAACCTTACTGTCTGCAACCTCTGTTTTTTTTTTTAGTGTGGGACTCATGCAACGGCTACTCTGGTGAAGATGTGTAACAAGCCTTACAATAAATCCATGTTTTATTGTAATCAGAGTAACATCTAGTCTTCTCCTATAGTCGTCCTCTTTACAAAGTCTCTTGAGTCTTCAGGTTTCTGGATTGTGAGTGGTTTCTGCACTCCAGCTCCCTTTAAATGTGTTTTCCCTCTTTTTAAAGCATTCAAGTCTAAATACGAAGGCATCTAATGCAAAGGAGTTGATTTGGTGTTTGGTACTCATTGTTTTTGTCCTTATTTTTCATTGAAAGACTCAATCATACCCCAGATTTTAACTTAAACTTCATGATATTTTAAATTTCATTTATTTCAAGCTCCTTAGGAGGGGAAATAGCCTACATCATTGGACTTTCCTTCGTTATTCATAAAAGTACTTTTCTATGTATTTATATATTTTTTTCAAGCTACTCCCATCTGGTTTGTCTAGCCTTATTCTAATGTGACCAGATCCCACAGCTCTATTAGAGCTTCCACTAAACGGCACTAATTAATGTCCGTAATGGTAGGAGGCAACTGACTTTCACTGACTAAATGTAATCATATTAAAGATTGGAATTAATATTTCCAATGTCAGATACTTGGGGCTTATTTAAATGTAGTGTCTCATTTTAATTGCCAAGCATGGTGGTGGGAGTATAATGTTATATGTTTTTACTGGTTTATTACATAAACATATGCATAATTCAAATACTATAAAAGCTTTTCTGATTAGCGTCAGCCCATGTGGGTATAATTTGAAGTATGGCAACATTTTAACCAAAAAAACCACAAAAAGGCTAAACAATGTTTAAATTACAAACATTCATTATGGAAAGCAAAAGTCATTCTCATAAAATAATCAACACAGGAATTGGTAGGAATATTGGGACATAAATGGTAATGCAAGGCACTCTAATAATATATTATGTTAAACTTATGCATATATATTTGGAAAGGACCTACATTATCTATTGTTTACTGTATTTTCCCCTAATATTTGCATGGCTCAAGTTAGTCAGAGTAATCAGAAAGAGTAGCTATACTATTACAAGAATATTACCCAAGTAAAACTCAGAGGTATAGTGAAGTAAAACTAAACAAAAAATTACTCAACTAAATGCAGCTAGTTACAGAGAAAAAGAAAAAAATGGAAATTTACTGAGGTAGCATCAATTATTGTTTATTAGTTTTGTAATCAAAGAAACTGGTTTAAAATCGAAAAATGATTTCTAATTTACTGGTTTACACTCCAGTCCAGAAGGGGGCAGTATTGTTCCTTATGCAGGTTACCATCCGCCACGGAACAGCGGGCCAGCAGGAAGAAGAATGACGTCATTGGATAGCGGCGCCGCGGTAGACTGGAATGGGACCTGACGATTTTCCCGTAATTTTGATAGCTTAATCCATGAATGGCGCCGAAACAGGACCCGAAACCTAAATTTCAAGAAGGTACGGAGGTTTTTCTCTGTTTGTTTTTTTCTTGTGTGTTTCTGTTCATTTTAAATCTCCTAACATCGTAGTTGTCGGAGGCGAAGCGGCTAGCCGTCATTGTTGTGGTGGTAAAGACAAAAAGGTTTATTAATTAGTTCGCCTCTTTGGTACAAAGGGTTTGGATTATTAGCCAGGGTCCACATTCTAATATAAAGTGCATTATCTGAAATTTATAGATAGTTTCGATTTATTTCCAAAGCGTTAGCAGCTGTAAGACTTTACCGCCCATCCTTACCAGTGTTTGACCAAGCTAACAGTTAGCTCACTCTTGGCTAATTTTACTCTTTCTAACCATTTTCTGGTGCTGTCATTTTAACTTCCAGTGCAGAAATATAGTATTTCAGCATTTTATCAATATTGTAACTAAAAAAACGTTATGCTAAGCATTAATAGATATGTTAAAATAAATCAAATGTAGTAAAAGTGCATCCTGCCTTTAATATTTAGTACTTGTTAAGGACTCTGGTAATGTGCAATATCGGATCAATATTTGTTTTCTTTCCGGCTTAGTTAGAAACGTTTTATCACTCTGATATGACTAATGTTCTGAATGTAGATACCCTATTTTGTGACCAGATGTATAAAAGTATCTCTACTCTTCACTGATAGTACAGATGGTATAATTTTTACCCTTATAGAAATTGCTAATTTGACCCGAATAGCTGGAATCTCTACAAATGTTTTGTACTAATCGGTCATGACTTTTTGTTTAGCAAGAGGAAGTTTCCATCCCCACTTTGACATTCTTTTAATTTAAGCAATCAATACATATCATAAAATGGTATAAGCTGCTCATAGTCTACTACTTTAGATATTCATAACCCTTGTCTTCAAATACTACTACATGCTTTAGGTTTGTCTCTGCAGCATCAAACCTGACTCAGCCATTAAGGGCTACAGGAGCCTGTTAATCAGTCATTCAAATAAGTCAGGTGTGTGACAGAGAGGGAACACCTAAAACATGCAGAACAGGGTTATTTGAGCTGCAGGACTGAAAACCACTGGTCGACTGTTAAGAAATTATGGATTATTTGCAAAATGTTCAGTTTTTTAGCATAATCAGGGGTTTATATTCTGCCAAAAAGTCAACTAAGCCAAGCATACACAATAAAGCAAACAGTAGCTGTACTTGGCTACGTTATTCATAAAAATACTTTGCTACAAAGAAAAATATTTTAAATCACAATTGATTCAAAATCCAAGTGTGTTTAGAATAGTTGGCAACATGTGGGTACAAAGAGGAGACACAACTCGGCAATATGACCTGAATACACAAACAGTTGAATTAATTATCTGTATTCAGTTTTATTTCTTTTGCTTTAGTTACATTTTAGAAAGTATATTTTATAAAGTCAGAAAGAGTGACCTAATAATTTCTGTCACTTCTTTCTTTAAATAATGTATAGAATCATGGAAATTTTTTAAATTGTTTTTTTTTATTTTTTTATTCAATTCCATTTAAAACAAATTTAGTTTCTATTTGTTTTATTTCCCATGCAGGTGAAAGAGTGCTGTGTTTTCATGGGCCATTGCTCTACGAAGCTAAGGTAAGTTACCTTTATTTAACCTGCCCTTTTATACATCCTCTTAATCTTTTATATAGTAGTTAAAGTGATGGGTACTTCTCTTTGCAGTGTGTTAAGATTAATATCAAGGACAAACAGATCAAATACTTCATTCATTACAGTGGTTGGAATAAGAAGTGAGTGTTCAGCTTGGATAATAAACTAGTAAATTTGTGTGTCTTCTACTCTGGCCTGAGTTCTTAAATAAGATTTGTCTTTCAGCTGGGACGAATGGGTTCCTGAAAGCAGAGTACTGAAGTATGTGGACAGTAATCTTCAGAAACAGAAAGAGCTTCAGAAGGCCAATCAGTAAGTCCATTAGTACACCTCCCATCCCTAACACCACCTAATTGGCTAACCTTTTTTTAGAACAGCTTGTTCCCAAATAACCAAACTGTTGTTTTCCTAATTTAGAGACCATTATGTAGAAGGAAAAATGAGGGGAGCCGCACCAAATAAGAAAATCCCTCCTACATCACAGAAAAATGATGTGTGAGTGTTCGCACTTTGATACCGTTTTTAACCTGGTCTTCCTGTTCAATTAAGTTTATATAAAAAAACATTGATTATGTGTATATATACATATTAAGTTTGTTTGTTTTTGCAGGAAAACCAAAAAGAACAAACAGAAGAGTGAGTATATGTGTCCCTCTACTCTTAAATGTTCTAAAGCCATTAAGTTCAAAAAGTTCACTGAAGCCTGTGTTCGACATGTTAGTGAGGCTGATCTGTTTTTGCAGCTCCTGGAGCAGGAGAAGGAACCAGTTCAGGGGGAGACCCAACACATCCTCCAAGGAAGAAAAGAGCACGTGTTGACCCAACTGTTGAGAGCGTAGGTGCAGGAATTCTTTACAGCACATTGAGTTGATTCAGTGAGGAAGTAGACTATGTTCAGAACCTAAAATAATTCCTGGATTTTTTTTGGATGGATTTTAGATCCTCAAAATGAAATGATAAATGTAAGCAATGCAGATGAAGTGATTTATTTTTTTCTCTCCGTCTCTCTCTGCGTAGGAGGAAACATTTATAAACCGAGTGGAGGTTAAGGTAAAGATCCCAGAGGAGCTTAAACCATGGCTTGTAGATGACTGGGATCTGATTACACGTCAGAAACAGGTAACCTGTCAGGATTACTCATTTTGTTTGTAGGCTTGTCAGGATGCTGCTATGTAATCCACCTAGAGATATCTGTAAAGCTGATGTTTGGATGTATTTTTCTTCAGCTTTTTCACCTTCCAGCCAAAAAAAATGTCGATGCTGTTCTTGAAGACTATGGAAACTACAAGAAATCAAGAGGAAACTCTGACAGCAAGTAAACATAGACCCTTTATCTTTTTTACTTACAACCTTTTTAATAACCAGAACCATAATTGCAATGTTTCCGCCTCATGTTTTATGCCAGTGTGATTTCGTTCCCTTATTGTACAGAGAGTTTGCTGTGAATGAGGTGGTCGCTGGTATTCGGGAATATTTCAACGTCATGCTAGGGACGCAGCTTCTCTACAAATTTGAGCGGCCGCAGTACGCAGACATCCTGGCTAGCCACCCAGATACACCTATGTCTCAGATCTACGGTGCTCCTCACCTACTCAGACTCTTTGGTAAAGACACACATTTTGGGTATTATACACAAAAAGTTCCTTTAGAAACAATTGTATCAGTATTTAAAAAACTAACCTACAGTTGCAGCTGAAATCCTTTGAGGGGTAATTTTATCTTTTTTCTTCAGTTCAGGGCTTGTGAGTCAGCCCCCCAAAACAACTTGGTGTTACAATAAGGTATTTTAGTTGAGAACCTAGAGAAAGAAAGCTCTTGAGAGGTTTGTTATTCATTTAGCAAAACTGATGCTGTTAGCTTCCCTTTAACTGAAGCTAACGTTATTGTCACCTTGACTTAGATTAACAAGAGGGATATACATTTAGATTCAGATTATTAGTAAAAAAAAAAAAAACTTAATTCAATACTTTTTGATCCAAAAAAGCTCAATTCATTGAGGTGAAGTTGGTAAAATAGATTTTCCTTGGGTTCAATGGTCTTATGAATAGACTCACATTATTTCCAGGGCTTGTTAGAAAGCATTAAAATTAATTTCTCTTTAATATTTTTTTAAATATATATTTTTTTTACAAATTAAGAAAAAAAATCCTTAAATGTGATCACAGGTCGCTCTTGTATTTTTCTTTTCCTTTTTTTTTTTTAAAGAGAAATATTTTATAATAAAAAAAAAGTTCGAGATATGACCATTAGAACAAAGATGTGGAACCAATCTGAGAAATGCTTCCGGTTATCCGTAAATCCGGATGTTTGGGTAGAAGTGTGGTGCATAGAGGTGGAGAAAAAAGGCAGAGGTTGGGAAAAAGCAAATTCAAACAAAACTGGCTGGAAACAGGAATTCAGAGCATGGCTGCACAGTATAGACGGGGAAGAATTTTGAAGTGTTGGCGGTGTGTGTGTGTGTGTGTGTGTCAGCCTTCAGGATGAGGATGCTGATCGAAAAACAAATCTAGCACAGTTATGAACGTGTTTGTGTTTGGTTGTATTGATTTGAACCCTTATTCAAAAATCTATTTAGATGTTGTGTTTGATTGTGTTTTGGACAGTAAGAATTGGGGCCATGCTGGCATACACTCCCCTGGATGAGAAAAGTCTTGCGCTGCTCCTCAGTTATCTACAAGACTTTCTCAAGTAAGTATGAATAACTCTTTCTACAACTCTAAAAGTCAAGAAACTGCTGCAAAAAACACCTGTATCTCCTTTCAGGTATCTTGTAAAGAACTCTGCCTCACTCTTCAATGCAAGCGACTACGAAGTCGCTCCACCAGAGTATCATCGCAAGGCGGTCTAAGTCTCAAACCTTTGTGCTAATTGTTGGAAAGGAGACTCTTCAGTTTAACGAATGTTATTTCCACATTTGAGGAACAGATTTTGTAAAAGTATTTTTGGTTATTTCAGAGGAGTTGTGGAGAGATGTGTGAATGAAGTGTATTTTTTTATTTTTCTCTTGTAAGGGAAGCTGCTGAGAACACATTGTTTTCCCTGTATTGTTTTGCTTTTGATCACCACTTCTACGTTTTCTTTATTCTTTAGTTTACTGGAAACCATCATCTGCTAAATTTGGACATTACTATTATTAACTTTCTTTTCCCCTGTTAAACAGACACCAGTTACAAATGTCCTGCGAATGGTCCTTTCTAATAAAATCCAATTCTTTACCTGCTGGACTGTCTTAAATGGTCATTATCCCAAATGTTTCTTGTAACAGTATTACAGCTAAAGACTTAAAAAAGCTCAACAAGCTACCATATTTTCACGACCATAAGGCGCACCGGACTAAAAGGCGCAGTCTCAGTTATGTGTGCCATTTCTGTATTTAACACACACATAAGGCGCACCGGACTATAGGGCGCGTTTTTTATATACAGGTACATGTCCTCTCAGGTGGATTTTCCCACTTAAAAACATATTACAACTACTTTATTCCCACTGATCACAGCAAGGTGTATTTATTACAAAGTATTATTCAAACCTGGGAGCTGGCCGTGAGAGACACATCGCTGATGACACAGGGCTGTGATTACTCCTCTGATACAGTTTATTGACGCATAAATTAACTTAAAACATAGGCAGGATAATAATCTGGATGAACTGACTGCAATGATTAAATTTTCAGGTGGACTTTCTCACTTAAAAAGATTTAGATTATTTAGATGAAAAAACACCTGCCGAGGTGAGTCCGGATGCGCCGCGGCCCAGAGCCTGCTGTTGAATTAAGTTTTTTAGGTAGAAAAATAGAGCGGGAGCAAAACTGAGTCTGATTGTGCTTTATTCAAGTATTTATTACAGAGTATTAATCAAACCCCTCAAAGTCCTCATCCTCTGTTTCTGAATTAAACAGCTGCGCTAAATCCGACATGCCAGTTTCCCCTTCTTCTTCGTTTATTGACGCATAAATTAACTTAAAACATAGGCAGGATAATAATCTGGATGAACTGACTGCAATGATTAAATTTTCAGGTGGACTTTCTCTCTTAAAAAGAATTAGATTATTTAGATCAGTGGTCTCCAACCCTGGTCCTCAAGATCTACTGTCCTACAGATTTTAGATGCATCCCTGCTTCAACACAGCTGAATCAAATGAATGGCTTGAAAAGGTAATCAATCATTTGATTCAGCTGTGTTGAAGCAGGGAAAATCTGTAGGACAGTAGATCTTGAGGACCAGGGTTGGAGACCACTGATTTAGATGAAAAAAACATCTGCCGAGGTGAGCCCGGATGCGCCGCGGCCCAGAGCCTGCTGTTGAATTAAGTTTTCAGGTAGAAAAATAGAGCGGGAGCAAAACTGAGTCTGATTGTGCTTTATTCAAGTATTTATTACAGAGTATTAATCAAACCCCTCAAAGTCCTCATCCTCTGTTTCTGAATTAAACAGCTGCGCTAAATCCGACATGCCAGTTTCCCCTTCTTCTTCGTTTATTGACGCATAAATTAACTTAAAACATAGGCAGGATAATAATCTGGATGAACTGACTGCAATGATTAAATTTTCAGGTGGACTTTCTCACTTAAAAAGATTTAGATTATTTAGATGAAAAAACACCTGCCGAGGTGAGTCCGGATGCGCCGCGGCCCAGAGGCTGCTGTTGAATTAAGTTTTCAGGTAGAAAAATAGAGCGGGAGCAAAACTGAGTCTGATTATGCTTTATTCATGTATTTATTACAGAGTATTAATCAAAGTCCTCATCCTCTTTTCATCATAATCCGCCGGACGTCGCTGAGCAACTGTAGTCCTGGTCCGGATGGAAAAATTGCACCGTTTCATAAAACGGAAGCACCACGATGGACCTCCTTGAAAATTTTCAATTTTCATTTCTTCCGCCAGCTTTACTGCTTTTAGTCGAACAGTAACCGTTGAAACGCTGGCCCCACTCGTTCTTTGCTCCACGATCCACCGCTCGAGTCTTTCCTCCAACTCGGGCCACCTTGCCTTATGTCCGCGGAAACTCAGCTGCGTCTTCTTCACCAGTCGGAGTTCGTTTTCCAGCTTCCTCTACTTGCGAACCATCGATTCATTTATATTGAATTCTCTCGCAGCTGCTCGATTTCCATGTTCCACTGCGTAGCTGATAGCCTTCAGTTTAAACTGGGCTTCATAGGCGTGTCTCTTTGCCATTTCCAGGGTTGTTAAGACAACAATTTTCTGCATAAAGCACATACCTGTTCTTTTATACACAAGCCACGCCCACACTTCCCCCTTTAAGGTTCTCACATACTCATGGTGGTCTCAACAACGTCCGCAGATAGGGCGCACCGCACTATAGGGCGCACCCCACATTTTGAGGGAAAAAAAAGACGTTTAGGTGCGCCTTATAGTCGTGAAAATACGGTAATTAAGAAGGCCAGCTCTGTTCTAGGAACTCCTCTAGAACCTCTGGAGATTTTTTCGCAAATAATTCTTCATAAAGTGAAGAACATTATGGACAACAGTGAGCGTCCTCCTCATCAGACTGTTTAACAACAGCAGTGTCTTCAGTCAGAGGCTTCCCCAGAGGATCCTTCCTGCCTACAATTAACATCTACAACACCTGTTTAAAAAAATTAGTGCGACTTTTGATTTTCTTTTGGGATGAATAAAGTATTTTTGAATTGAATATTTTGTTTGAAACATTAAGTTCACTCCCTCAATGACATGTAAATACTATTAGCAATACTTTACATTTTCTGAGGATAAAAAAAAGTTTTAAGGCTTTGTTTAAAAACAAGCCTACCTGAGTTGTCAGAAATCTATATTTCAACTGTTTATTTGACATTAAAGGCTGGATCCTGCTTCAGTTTATTTTAGTAAAGGATTTTGTTACCAGAAAAATTATTTTCTAGTGGATAACAATTTAATAAGATATACATGTTACATAACTGAGATGGTGTTACTTATTAGGGATTTTATGTAACAAAAAGTGCAGATTTGTAAAGGGAGGGAAATACATCTATGTTAGCTTTTTAATAAATTCTGCAAGGTGGTAATTTCTTAATGATAAAAAAAAAAAGCTCAGTCTGAGTCAGATTCTGTGCACAGATAGAAAAGAGATTTGCAAACTTTGCCCTAGGACCATGACACTAGCTGTTTTAATTTAGTCACTTTATTCCTGGTCTCATTTGTAATTTCTTTTACAGCAGCTGTTAAGCGGTTTCTTCCAGTATTTCCCTTTATTAAGTGTTACCATCTCTGCCCACTATCCTTGTACCCACTTAAAGGATGGTGTCTTTTGCTGCTGTTATGATTGTTAGAAATTTCTTTTACTTTCTTGCCAACTACAGACGTTTTTAATGAGCTCTTTTTTATGTCAGTTGAGTTTTTGTATATAATTGTAATTATACTCAACACATCAGTGACGAGTATAATTATGAAACAATAAATTGATTAAGTAAAAAAGAAAAACTGACATGCCATATTTTACAAGTCAAATTTCTAAGAGCCATAAACATATCCGTCTTATCCTTCACTAGAAATTCTCTGAACTGCCGGATAGATCATGATAAAAATAGTGTTGTTTTCTTCAAGATTACCTTTTTCTGAATATATCTTATTGAAAGCAAGTCGTTCCCCCTTTTTGCCTCTTAACAGGCTCCTTTTCCACTGTTGTGACTTAATGCTATGAAAAGAGAAACCAAATATTAGCCCAAGGCTGATTTGTGGTATCATCTGTCAGACACATGCATTTGTTATGGCAAGAACAATCTTTTTCGAAGAAGAAGAATGTGTTTAATCCAAGTTTCCGCAGCATTTAACCAGGACCAGATGTGTTTTTACTGGAGAGAGTTCTCACCTCATAGCACTCTGACTGCTAAAAACTATATGAAAGACTGATGTACAGGGACCTCCTCTCTGGCAGACGTATACCTGCCCAGTGTTTCTCTCACTTTACTGCTGCAGTTAATCCTTCACTCAACATTCCCCCTCTTGTGATTGTGCTGTCATGTTAACTGAGAGATCATTTTAGTGCTGTCATCCTGAGACATTGAAAGCATTGCTTACACAAAACAACACTTCAAAGGCCTGTTCAAGTGTGATTGATGCATTTATCTCTTTTTTTCCCCCCCTCCTAGCTGTCTGTTCTTAATACATATTCAGAAACAAACTTAAATATCCAAAACTCATTCTCCTTCTTAAAAATATCTCCTAATCAGAATGCAAACATTCTGGCTACATTCATTAGCAGCACTCTAAAGCATGTGGGACAAGCCTTCCATGAAATATATCTCCATTCCTTGGTTTATCCATTCTGCAGGTCTGGTTTAGGAAGTGAAATAAAGAAATTCACACCCTCAGTTGGGTGGGTTCGCTGTTACAGCCATTTTTAGATAGGACAATTATTTAACTATTTTGAGGGCGGTATATCTCCAGTATAGCAGTGATTGAGAAGAAAAAAAGCACTAGAAGAAAGCCTGTCTCATGTTATTCTTTGGTGTTCTAATGCAGCTCTGCATCTGAACCTCATTTCTCCATCTAGCCAAACATTTTCAAACTATTTTGATATGCTGCTTTCGATATGCTGAGACAGGAATGCATTCACACGGCTAGTGAAGCACTCCGAGGTCCAAATAACCTGTGCTACTGTGGAGCTTCAGGGTCTTGGACTGGGTTTAATCTGTCCTAATCTGCTCCAGAAACCAAATTCAGGCACAGTAAACACTGACAGACACTCTTCTCAAGGTTTTGGAATCCCTGTTTAAGGTGATCGTTTTCCTTCCTATCACACTTTTTCCTTCCACTCAACCTTCTATTAATATACTTATATGCATCGCTATGAACAACTAACATCTTTAGCAATAAAACTCTATGGATTAAACCTTATTTAGGGTATGAAGACTGACGTCGAGTCAGCAGTCCTCCATGAATGTACAGTCTGCCAACCCAGACTGAATAACCTTTTAGACACTCAAGAATCCATTACATTTAATTAGATAATGCAGGTATTAAACAAAGTGTTTAAGCATTTGACCTTTTCACCAGGTTCTACTTTTCTGAAGCTCTAAATTTTAAACGGAGCGGATTATAGACTCTAGAGATTAATGTTTTACAGTTTATTGCTGCGGTAAATGATTTTTCCCAGTCGGTTGTTTTCTCTTTTAAAAAAGAGATGCGATTAATTTAAATAAAACGCCTGTATTAATTTATTTTTTGTCAGTTCTTACTATAACCACTAGATGGTATAGTTGACAT